TTAACGCGACTAAATTCTCTATTTACCGGTTTGTTTATTTACGACTAAGGCGCGCCATAACGCGGACCAGTAAACATCACTAGCAGTGCAAGTGGTAATGCTCAATATCATGAGATAAGAACATAAAATTGGAAAAACAACCATTCGAAGCTCTGATCTTGCTTGCAAATTTGCTCGCACGCAGGTGACTTCAGTTCCCTCTAAAGTTATGCTCTGGGTCGAAACTACCGGGTTTCTCGGTTTTTTAGGGTCCACAAATAGTGCTATCGCAAATTCGAAAAACAGATTGTACACTAGATACGTTGATTGCTATAGTCTCTTTGTGTTATTTATCAATGGGGAGTTCTTTAGTGAAGAAAGAAGACAACACATGGCACTCCTAATGAGTCAAAAGTGCGACTGTAACGATATAATGTATCCAATTCTGCTTTTTCTCAATTTGAGTTGCTATAGAGTTTCGCGTGATTCGCTTTTTTTGAAAGTTACAGCAACATATCAACATCGCGTGTTAACGGCAGAGGCGTTTTGTGTCAATGTGGTAATCGCTTGGCAACAAAGGCTTTCTTTATCCGGTTGCTGCTTGGGGTTACTCCAATCCATATATCTTGCTTCGATATTCTTGATTATAAACTGGTATTCAAATATCTGGTAGCGGGGTTGTTGAAATGTCGATTTCTTTGTTTTCATATCTAATAAAAAAATGTTTTATTAGCGAGGGAGCTCCTGGTAATCTATCATCTGTGTAATCAAAACGAGATTTTTCAGGTGCAAGTACACACAACGTCATCACAAATGTCGACAGCACCGGTGAAAGCCGTACCTGTACCGAGTCAACGAAATGCTTTCACAAAAATCGAGGTGAGTAGTTCATTATTTTCCTTGCAATTTATGCTTATCTCGTCTTATTTTGTAGGAGCGACGCCTTGGAAACAAAGATTCCGAAGAGACATGCTCGGCTATACCGTCACCATCAGTACGGGCTATCTCGGCGCTGAAACGAACTTCCATAGGAAAAGGTGCTGCGGCTGAGCCAACACCAGTGCCAACGGTGGAGAATATGACATTGCCATCAAGTAAGTTTTAACTTTTTCCTCCAGATAATGCTTTTTCTGTCGTCACTTCTTTTTTTCCCATCTTGAATTCGTTTTTTGATTATTTTGTTTTGGATTTTTTCTATCTATGAAAGTGGATCCCCATTTTCAAGGCAATGCTTTCGAGCAATTTTTGGAAAATTTGATTATTACTCAGCTATAGATGTATTACTTGTACATCTTAATTAAGTCATTATTATAGCACAATTTATCGTGCGAGGTGGCGTGGCCAGGCGCTCATTGGCAGAAAGGACTCGCATTTTGAGACAGGAATCATCTCCGCCCACGCCAGTGTCAGAGAAGGCACCAGAATGTGAGTACATCTGCTTTAATAAATCTCTGATTGTGATTGGTTAGAAGTTTCAATCGCTTCTCATCCTTCTTTGCTTTTACAGCCTTTTTT